TGTACGAGCTCAAAAATTTCTAAGTTATGTCATGTAAGCACACGAATTGGAAACAAACTGATTTTGCTTGATTTTTTGGTTTTTAACTCTAATGATCAATAGAAGGCGGCGGCCGGACTAAACTGGCTTCGGCTGAGTCCGTATGTCGCCAATCCAAAGCGAGGATGGATACTGTCATTCATTAAACTAGGCCTTTGGCCAATGACGTATTTGAAGCATCTTGCAGCCACGAAAGCAGGCAACCACTCAACATTGAACATGCACACTGTAAGGCCTCAGAAAATGAATCTCTCTGGAAGAAAAACAGGTCTAAAGGTGCTCTAGAGGCACTCCCGTTTTGCTTCCACCCACACATTTGATTTAGAGCCCAGTAATTTCCGCAATGGTCATGAATGTTTTTTTTTTTTTTGGCAGACCAGCTTTGTTTCCTGCGGAAAGTACCAACATACGACACAGGTCAGTTCCGTTGTTGCAGTGTTACGGACAAATTTACAAATAATTGTGGATGTTAGATTTCGTCCGTAGGACAGGCGCCCTGGGCGCCACTGACGATGAATGACCAAACACACAGACCAGCGAGGCTTGCTGGACGCAGGCTAGGCTTGGTGCATCGGACCAGGGGCGTAAGCAGGATTTCACAATTGTGGGGAGGGGATGCAGTTCATTTTTTACACAAACCGAGCGTGGCGCGCCCGCATGCCTTTCATCTAATTTGTGTGTGCCTGCCTGACATTTTGAACGGGCAACATATCGGCATGTGCATATAATGCGTGACATAAACTCGGTGAGGAGGGGGACATTCCCCTGAGGTCTGTTGTGTGCGTACGGCCCAGCACCGAACATAATTTTGCATTATCCTAGATCACCACATCTGACCCTTTGATCTCCAGAAGTCATTTCGAGACGGAAATGAACATTGAGATTAGCCACAGATGAGCGATGTGGAGCAATATGGACGAGCCAGAAGAGTGGTGTGGACGTGGCCCCTCCCGAGGGCCTCTCGACACCCTCAACACCGACGATGCACGTGTTTTCTGCAGTCTCGCTGCCAGCCAGTCTTGGTGCGACGATGCCGGCTGTGCGAGCCAGCCTCTGTGACGGCGGTACGAACCGCCACTAGAAGGCAGCCAGTTTTTTATTGTCATATTAGCAATCAGAGGTCGTCACTTCTGATGATGATCAGATCATGATGATTCTGATGATGACCAAAATTGATCAAAGGTCGACCCGAGGTTGCTACATATGAAGATGCTTCGCAGACAGCCACTTAACATGTGCTACACTTGGATGTATAGCCTCGTGCGACATGACCACCACCATGCGCCTGGTTCTTAAAATGTCTCCCGGGAACCGGCCCCAGGCTCCTCGTTCTGGAAACAAGACCAGTTTAGAATTAAGCCGGAGATCCGGCCACAGCCGGAATCAAGCAATGAATTGTGCTGAGGAAACCAAGAAAAAATAGAATCCCTCTTGACAGTGAGGCAAGAGATCCGCCTTGCAACATGCGCAGTGACGAAGCAAAAGCCAAGGCCCAAGCTAAAATTATTCCAAGAGATCCAGCAAAAACATCGATCCAGCCTGAAATATGTCCAGAGATCCAGCAAGAATCAATATTCTTGCTGGAATTATGCACGCTCTCAGCAAAAAACAGAAACAAAATCCGTCGTAAATTCAGGGAAACCAGCTAAACCCACGTTCTTAGCTGGAATTTGTCACATTCTTCTCTGGAATTATCAGGGACCAGCAGGAATCTCCACGGTGCACTTATTCTTGTGCGTTACACAAGTGGGGGATGCAGACCACATGCAGGCATATTTTAGTCAAGGTGGTATTCCTTCTAGGTCAGACATTTGTTAAATGGTAACCCAGGCTAGGTGTTTACAAACGAACCACTGAGAAGCGGGCACCCGGGTCTGGTGCTTTGTGGGTGAACCAATGGGAACCATACACCAGGATGTATCTGGTGTTGGTGAAGAACCAATAAGAGCCAGAGCCAGGCTCCGGTCTTTGTGAAGAAATCGATGGGAACCAGGGACCAAGACCTGCTGATTGTGAAAATCCAGTGGGACAACGGAACCAGGATTTGATAATTGCGAAGAAATCAATGTTAGCCAGGAACCAGTATTTTATGATCACGAAAGTGCCAGTGGGAAGCAGGAACTAGGGCTCGGTGTTTGCAAATCAGTCAATGCGGTCAAATAGCCAGATGATGATGCTTCTAAAAGAACCATCTGGAGCTAGGATCCGGGTATGGCTTTCATCAGGAGTAGGAGAGCAACCACATTGCAAATCGGGTACATGTCTGACCGTTATCCGTAACGCCACGGTCAGCTGCAGATAGCCACCCGTGACGTCACAGATAGTTACATCCCAGGATAATCCTGCCAATGCTGGACGCACCTCAGGAGAGGGGACCGGCCGGCTGCCTGACCGGGCCCACGCGGCACCCTTGGGTCAGCTGCGCGGCGTGCCGCCACTGCGGGGCCGCGTCCCGCAGTGACGCGGCGCGCCGTCAGCATGCTGCGCCACGCCTCCAAGGCGCTGTTGTCGGCCAGGCGGCGACGGCGGGCCCGGCAGATGTTATGAAAGGCATGATTACTACGGCATGTTTTGGCGAGCCGCGTGCGCCGCGCCACCATTGATCTCACGCCATCTCTGCGGCTGCAGGATTTGGCAGACCATTCCGTTGACTTGACGAGGGATCTGGCGTTCTAAGACCCGGACTCATTCATCTTCCTGGGAACGGAATGCCGAGAGCGACACGTTCCTCCCTCTACGAGTGTTCCAGTGTGGTTGATTGGGGAGGGGGGGGGGAGCTGCTCCAAACGCATGAGGTACTGTTCTCTTATAGCACCCCCAGCGTTTCAGTATAAGGTTGGCATCAGGCCGGGGAGATGGCTGGTGGCGTCGGGGTTGCTAGGGTCGAGGTATTAGGCTGTTGAGAGCCGTCGTCAGTAGGACACTTCAGCGAACAACGCGAAACGCCCGTGTCCGTGACAAATGGTGGTCAACAGCGAGCATGGCCTGCGGATCCCGAAGTGCGGCAGGCAGGTGCGCAGCTGCCCCATCCACACAATCCTGAAGCTGAGCAGTGAGGGAGAGCTGAGCGGTCTCCGACTGACTGAGTGGTTCGTCAGTTTTTTTCATTTTTTCATAAGATATTTTGTCTGACATTAGAAAGAATGGCTTTCAGCTCCTGGTTTTCAGCATTATGTGTTCAGATATACGGAGCTATCGACCTTCAGTGTACTAGCAGGTACTGGTTAAATGACGTTGTTAGTAAGCATTGTTCACATTGGCAGCTTTCGACATTTCAACCTGAGCTTATGCCTACAAGTGACAAGGATTGATTCAGTTAAGCAGCTAATAACACTTGAAAGCTGAGGCACATGAATTTAGGAAATGCTCCAAAATTATGCAGACACTGGTACCAAAAGACATCAAAAATACTAAATTAGCCGAGCTACCACATTACCTGACCCCTGGTACGCGGTTCTACACTAAGGCTTGCACAGACTGCTAAGCCAGAAGGTGGTGATGACCCATACGGAACATTAGATTAGAATATTACTTACCACCAACATCAGGTACCACTAAAATTGTGCGAACCTCACGCACATCTAGGAATTCAGGTTTTTACGTCCGGCTTCCCAAAAACGAATGCTACGCTTTGTTTCTTCGACATAAAATATTCCTGCGCAGAGGTTGCAATATGTCTGAAAGAATACGATAGGTATATAAACTCTAAGATAACCTTTACATGTGAACTCACAGCATTGGCCGAGTTCAGAACACAGTAACAGCTGATCTGAATGAAATTAATTCTTCAGAAACTAATTTTCCACATACGCTCGTCAAAATGCCAGGAATGAGTGTCAATCCGACACTTTTACGTTCAATTTGTGAATACACCAATCGCCATTGAATACGTCAAAACATGTTATGACCCAAGTAGAAAACAAACATTTTGGCAACACGTTCGGATACGCGCCACATCTACTGAGCAACGCCACTAACCATTTAGCGTTGGCGATAGTCATCACTCTGTATCGCCATTTCGGATGAAGTTTTAGCAGTTCTTGCTTCTGTTCAGCTTTAGTATATCAGACACAAATGAGTGGTGCGAATGATCCTTTTGGGGGTGATTTTGATGAGTTGAGTCATTTCCACATCTTTCATACTTTTACAATACATACCTATGTGTACGATTACCATAGATCACTAAAGTAGACCGCGTTGTCCCTACTTTACAATGTTGATAGCGGACTGACTTAAGACTATATCACTGTGTTTTGCAAGAATGCCGACAAATGAAGCATCCCGATTGCAATGAATAATTTCGAGATGCAGAAGTCTGAGCTCACAGCAGTATTTCCGTCCTGCGTTTGCCACATGGAAGCGTGCTCCCGCACCGATGCCGATCGGTCAAATAGTGACTGTATACTCCAGGTCTCAAGCTGTGCTACTTGGTATGTTGTTCAGCTGACGTACTGTCGTAGCACAAATGTTATCGGATCGGCAGTGCTTCTGCTGTCGATTTCCTCTCAGTTTGTAAAGAATATGTGCTCAACACTCAGCGTTAAACCTGCTGGTGGTTCCATTCGTACACGAGGATACTGAAGCTATCACGAAATAAAATACATACCGGAGGCATGAACGAAAATACAGCTTGCGTTTCACAGTTTTCATGATCGGAAAATGTTTAGTTTTTAAAATTGGGTGTGGCGAACAACCGCCATTTTCCAAAATGGTACTACAGTTAACCACATTTTTCACTTGCATCTCAATCGCGTTAGAAGTATACCCGTGCCCATATCCGCCCAGAAAATTTTCCGAATGCTGTACCAGATTCGTGGCATCTGCTGGTTTGGTTTCGGGTGGTTGTAGGAATACTCGGCCCATCACGGCCTCTTAGTTTGCCCGTCGTCGTTCTCAGCGCCGTCTATAGAGACGGTGCCTAAGCTTCGTTCGTGCCTAAACACTACATTATTGCAAAAAATAAAAATATCTGCACTGCTGCATGCCGTCTAATTTTGAGGTCGTGGCAACGGGGCAAAATGATCCATTCCCGAGGTCTGGCACATAAGCATGGCAAGAGTGAGCCTCACAATGACGGTTGACCTTCATGCTTGACCTTGACCTCGTTTGATCTCTTTCAAGACCTCAGATGTCTGTACACGATACTGACCTGAGCCACCAGCATTGGGCAAGCCAGCACGAAAGCGAGCAGCCAGATGGCCAGAATGGTCCGGTGCGCCTGGCTCTTGGTGCAGATGTATTGAGCCTTCATCGGGTGGAGGATCACGTAGTACCTGCGGGGAGAAGGTCAAGTGTAACAGGTCACCAACCACTGCACAGTGCACAGTCAGTGTGCATAGTATCTGAGGGGAGAAGGTCATCTATGACAGGTCACCAACCACAGCACACAGTCAGTGTGCATAGTATCTGAGGGGAGAAGGTCATCTATGACAGGTCACCAACTACTGCACACAGTCAGTGTGCGTGGTATCTGAGCGGAGAAGGCCACCTGTAACAGGTGACCAACCACTGCACACAGTCAGTGTACAATCAATTTCAAACACCGAATAGCTGGCGTATATTCACATTAAATTGCAATCGTAAATATAAAGACAACGTGAATGAAGTGAAATATCACACAACAGTGGTGTCTGTCCTGTTCGCATACCTAAGTTAAAGCCCATTTCCATGCCCTAACTTTGAGTGCGCGTGATTTGTACATCAGACGGCCCTAATTACAAGGCGAAAGATCGTCGTGGGTGACAAATGGCGTCAGGGACGGCACCTAATCCTTTTATTTTAGATGACTTTCGACAAGGAAACAATGTTATTAATGTCTTCCAGGAGCAAAGCGAAGCCATGTTCTGTTTTACAAATATTCTTTAAAGTTGTTCATGGTAAAGAATGATGGCAAACGATGGGAAGGCAAAAGAATCAGCGACAAAACTTTATTTAGTGATGAAAGCCGAATTTTTCAGAAACTTTAAGTCTAATGGGATCTCTGATGACTAGCAAGCAAGAGCTGCTCGATCAACACGATTAATCATAGTTTTTTTGTCTGACGTCATGAGCAGGCGCTAATGTGCTTTCTCAGTCAGTGAGGCCTTTGCTTAAATATCTCTTAATCTGAAGAAATGTTAATCCCTGATTCAGCAGCATTCCAATGCTGGAATGTCATGCATCGTGATATATGGCAGACTGCAAGGCTGCAAAGCTGCTGAAGATACTAAATATTGTTCAGGGGCCTTACAGCCAAACATGTGAGCCCGTTATGTCGAGAGGTCCTCTGATAGCGTCAGCGACGCGGATTGGGTGCCGGCCTGCTCAGAGCTGTCGGAGATAGGTGAAAACCTTAAAATGAGCCTCACTTAGTGCAGCACTCCATCAAGTACCGCTTACTCTGATTTATGGACTTCGTACCTATATGAGAGGTGGACCTGTGTCAATGTCCCATTAGAACAGGATCGGTGGGCAATAGCACTTAAGTGCGTCAGGCAAACACGTCTCATTCACACGTCAGGCAAACACGTCGTCTGATTAAACAACACAGATATTGCGCTTTGATTACCAGCGCTGTAATTTCTCAGGTTAATTTCACGTTCTGAACAGGGAGGCACACTAATCATTACTCACTCGCAAACACTCGCGGCAGTATGCTAAGAAGTCGTGCGTTCATTCTCTATCGAAACCGCCGAAAAGCTGGGGCAGAAATTGCAATGCGCTGGGAGAAAAGATTATCGAATCTTTGTTATATCTTTTCGCACATGAATAAAAAATGCTCGATTTGTCATGTTTTCCTCTGCCATTTGTTTTTTGTCCGTCCCTTTATCTCCGAATCATTCGTGGGGCAGGGTTCTCCGCGACGCCAGGCGAACAATTGAGTCTTAGTAGCACATTTAAGCTTTCTGGGTTTGTTCCTGTCGCACAAAAGCGCCCCCTCCCCCCCCCCCCCCCCCGCCCCCGCCCCGGGTGAGCGGGGCTCTGATTGTTATCGTCAAAGCGGACGGGCCGCTGCAAGACCGCCAGCTAGTTCCGCCCTAGCACGACGCTCAAGGACGAGGGCTGACGTTCAGCTTTGACAGGGTCTTGTCTCCGTGTTTCATCATGATGTCAGCTGTAAATAATTGCCGTCCTGCCGAGTCATTTTTCAAGCGCCGTCTGCTTGCCCGTTATGGGGATTATTGGGACGCTTTGGTACATTAGTGATGACGATGAACAGATACATTTGACATGGGCCAGCGCGGACCGAAACTGGGCCCGATTCAAGCCTTCCGAATCAGGCCCACGCGAAATACCCACCACACCTATCACTCCCATCATCCGGCAGGAAACACATCACATCTCACATGAGAAGACTCACCTCTCCAAACTGATGGCCGTGAGGGTAAGCACCGAGCATATGGCCGTCACTGTCTGGACGTAGTGCACGCCCAGACACAGGAATGCCCCCAGGGTCCACGTGAAGGAGAACAGCTTCGCGATCTGGAACGGCAGCAGCGGTATAAGTGGCATGCTATGGCTTCCGAGAGCGTCTGATTCAGTCCGCTGGCTTCCGCAGCCCAGGCTCAAAACAGCAGCTCAGCTTCCAAATCAGGCTGCCGGTGAGGGTTAACCAGGAATCGTGCATGTATTTCAACTTTTCGGCCGTCAGAAACATAGCTGTGTAGAATCGCGGACTTCCACTTCAGCCAGCTGAAATCTATGGCAGCTTACTGGGTCTGGTAGACTCAAGCAGACTGAGGACTACCCGACGCGGCGTAAGAAGAAGTAAAAATCTCAACAACTCTCAGCGGTCAACCCAGACCTTCGGCAGATTTCGACTCTGAGGCATTAGCAATCCGTCAACAGTTGCGCCTGCCTGGCTGAATAATAACATACACGTGCGCAGCATCAACAAACAAACAACACTGCAAGCTACACATACATCCCAAAAATCGATATTTAGCGGCAAAAAATATAGAGCATTGCAGGAGCATCTGTTTTTAACATGTGTTTGTCGGTTCGAAGCCATGTCATAACCGAACCTTCAAAACCAGATAATAACGGCTGGCACTAAAGTTGTTGGGTTCCTAACCCTAGTGTCCCTGGAGCTAACCAGAGTATTTGGGGGGTTTTCACCGCATGAATTTGCATTACTTCAGAACAAAGTACATTAACATTGGATGAAGGCCTGAACAACGCTTAACATGAGCAACAAAATAACAGTCACACACGTATGCCCACAAGCACCCGCACTAAACAAAAGAATGCCCAAGAGCACGATATCCAATGAGGTTCATAAAAATCACTAACTTCAAAATCGAAGCCACTTTTCTTATCTTGCTGAGGGTCATAGCCTGTGTGACCAGCTTACAGTGGGTCAGTTCAAGTTTCACGTCATTCGAGGTCACGTCGATAACCACTTACAAAAACTGTAGGTGGTTCTCAGCCTCAAACCCTGTTTATGAGCAATGATCCGCGGCCGCATCACCGATTAATAACACCTCGTAAAAGCAAGAGATACTATATGGTGACACGTGGACGCTGAGGCAATGGTTTCATTCACCTATGAACATCCATTAACCCATGCTCTGACAGGAGGCCGGGGGCGATGTAACCCACGGACGCGTTAAACTTTTGTAGTAAAATATCCTTGCCATGTCGTGTGACCTCTCCAAGTTTTCACCAGAGCCTCCGGTGCATGTTTAGCACGTGTTGGGGCACAACTAACTCGCCTCCAGCGTCTGATTTCTGAGTAGCAGCGTCTTGTCAGGAACAACGCACGGCGACCTACGCCCGGAGAGGGCAGCAACAGTCGAATCTGCCGACCCCCGGCCGTGGGACGCGTGTATCGCAGCATCAAGACGCATGTATCGCAGCATCAAGACGCATGTATCGCAGCATCAAGACGCATGTATCGCAGCATCAAGACGCATGTATCGCAGCATCAAGACACATGTATCGCAGCATCAAGACGCATGTATCGCAGCATCAAGACGCATGTATCGTAGCATCAAGATGCGTGTATCGCAGCATCAAGACGCATGTATCGCAGCATCAAGACGCGTGTATCGCAGCATCAAGACGCATGCATCGCAGCATCAAGACGCGTGTATCGCAGCATCAAGACGCGTGTATCGCGGCATCAAAACGCATGCATCGCAACATCAAGGCGCACGTATCGCAGCATCAAGACGCATGCATCGCAGCATCAAGACGCATGTATCGCAGCATCAAGATGCAATGATCGCGGCATCAAAACGCATGCATCGCAACATCAAGATGCATGGATTGCAGCATCAAGACGCATGCGTCGCAACATCACGACGCATGTACCTCAGCATCAAGACGCATGCATCGCAGTATCAAACGCACGACGCACCCATCCCCAAACGCAAGAGGTGCCTCAGCAACCCACATACCGAATGGGTAAACAATCCCCTTGCCTGCACCAAAGTTATCCAATCTACTTTGAAATGAGCTCGGGTGATGGCTTTCAGCTTAAGCTGCTGGCGATGCGCTCCAACATCTCATCACTCCTTGACCTTGAAAACCTCCGCCGCGATGTCCTGTGAGGGACTTTGTCTATCTAATTTGTCCTTAGCCCAGTCTAAATAGGATTATATGTGTTGCCAGCTTTGGTAAGGTTTAAGCCACCGATATTAGAGTGACTGCACACTCACACACACGCACGCACGCACGCACGCACACACACACACTCATATATATATATATATATATATATATATATATATATATATATATGTGTGTGTGTGTGTGTGTGTGTGTGTATATATGTTTATAAGTGATCAAGCATGGTGACGTTACATGTACATGTATTGCAAAAGAACTGAAGAAAACAGGAATAAAAGAAAGAACTGAGCGTTCAGCACATTGCTAAACATTCTCCTCTTGGCGGATGTTAGATTTTCCCGTTTTGAGACGAACAAACAAGCCCATTAACACTTAATTTGTTTTCACTTGTATCTGCAATGCGCCAAGACCCGTATATATATTTCTAGCAGACGTGCTCTTTCTGGGGATGCTAGAGCCCACATTCTTCGCCTTTCATTTATTTTATTCGACTGTGACTATGGTAAAACAGTGCCCGCACTCCGCAGGTCATGGACCTAACAATGAGCTCCCAGGACTCCGCTCATATCCGCCACAGTACCTAGATTACAGCAAAGTGCCGCGATCAGCTGCTGCAAGCTTGTACTATCAACCCATTGTCCACCCGTTTACCATTTCCTAAAATCTTAGGAGTTGGTTTCGCAAGACTTAAGAAAGCGTTCAATGTTTCGTGGCCAGGCGCACAAAGCGGATCCTGGGGCACGTGCCCCCCCCCCCTCTCATTCTGTTTTATATGCATTAACATGTGCGCGACCAGATCTCATCACTGAAAATTAGGACAGACTGGTGAAAGTAGCTTAATGAAAAACACGCCATGCTACTACGTCATGCAGCAAAGTTTGCACGTCCGCCGCGTGAAAAACTTGGTTTTTGGGGCAATGTTGAGTTATGGCAAAGAGTCCTTCCTATTGCGAAATCCTGCGCACGACCCTGTCCGCGGCATTGCTTAAAGCCCCGAACAAGCATTTCTTGAACCATCCGCCCTGCCCTAGTCCGCACAGACGGCGTCCTCTTCACAAAACTGTTGACTAAACCAACCCGCTTCTCAACCTACAGACGTAAGTCATGGCAGCCGTGTTCACCACTTTGATGGAGGAGGAGACGGCAAAGACGTTCAGACACTGCCCGGTCACGATAGTGTTGATTTTCGTGGTACATCGGCATCCAAGTCCGGACGAACGTGTCGGTCACACACAAGCCACATCCTCTTGGTCGCATTCACCAGGGATAGTTCTTGGCCGAGTTTCCAAGAATGGGACATTCAGGCTGTTCTGCTGAGATTATTGGGAACAAGCGGCTAAAAACTGTCCCGACGACGTCGCAAGGGTTTTGATAAAGTTAGGCATGACAAAATTATCAAGAGGGCCCCGCCATGTAATGAATTTAACAGATGCTCAAGCAAACTTGACGTTGACGGGCCGACTGCAGTACCATGGGTTCCGAAACCTTATTCCGGATCACGGATCCTGGTATCCTGGTATCCATCCTGGTATCCTCGACATACGGCGATGAATTAAGCGAGAGATAAAAGGCAGGTTTCGCGCCAACGCAGCGCGAAAGATTGATATTAAGCTTTCTTCGAATCGAGTACAGCGAAGCTGTTTAGCCATGCCCCGTTCCTACAGCTCCAAAGCGCGAAGGAGGACCGCCGCCAGGACATTTCCTAGAGTCTGGCCTCTCGGGCGTTTTGCACATGTCATTGACGTAACCCGTGACCTACTGCATCCGCTATCCGTTCGTTTGCATTATATTGCATCAGCAATAAGCTCCGATCTTCACGAGTGTGGGATTTAAAATTATCTTCATGGTAAACATGGACGGGACTGGAGGTCTGGCTTGAGGAAATGTGCGCTTTGGTTCGCGCGGGGTCGTGTTGGGTCGTGCACACCACGCGCAGTTGTGACACCGACCTGGCTAACGCCGCATTAAGTGCTGAACCAGGACCGCATTCTTGTTCTCGCTGTAGCAAAATAATGCCAGAGCCCTGACACTATCACGCCAGAGACGGAGATGGCACATGCCGCGGCGTGTTGACTATCGGACGAAAGTTGGTCACATGCCAGCGTGTCGTCTGTTCCACGTGCTGGTGTGTTTGGTGACGAGCCAGAGCCAAGTTTGGTTCGTGCTGGGGAGCTGCAGTGACGTCGAGTTGGAAAGCTATTGGGTGGTGGTGCCGCACCAGCTTGGTGTTGGCTGCTATTGCCTGAAATGTCCCACAGTTGAAGATATTGAAGCAAGCATCATATATGATGAAATATGCTCACTTCTAACTATCGGTATACTTCTAAGTGGAAAAGACTGTCATGGACAAACAATTTCTCTATTTAGTCCATGCGCCCCTCCATACGAAATAGTCTGAGTGCATTATCATACCTTGCAGAGCATTGAGTGAGTGTCAGTTGGCAGCAGTTATATTTAAAATCGTCTCACTAACTCAAGATATGGCGACCGAGCATTTCCATTTTTCTTGGCCCTAGTCGTCACATGTCTAGTGAAATGGCAAAATTAAAATGGCGTTATCTTGGCGTCATGGACGTTGGGTGACCTTGAAATAGTCTCCCAAAAAGTCTGCACATATTCGCGGACGTGTAGCTCAGAAACTAGAGGGGTTCAGGTCTTAAGAAGGGCAGGGCTGTGAACTTCACCGAATGATCTTCAACATGGCTATTTCAGTTAAAAAAAAACCCGCAATACAGTTGTGGAACACTCCCTTCAAGGTCTCACCTTTCTGCATTGGCGGTCCGGCCCAGTGCCGTACAAGAGTCACACATAAAAGAGGTAAGGCATTTCGGAGGCGCGCACGACCGTCCAAGCGGATAAGCGCTGCCCCGACAACCCCGACTGCCCCGACAGCCCCGACTGCCCCGATC